ATCAATGAATTGTTTTTAAAAATTAAAAACATTGTTTGTTTTTAAAATTTAAAAACATAACTATGATAATAAAATAAAAATAAATCAATTAAGATAAAACGCTAACAAAATTAAAATCAGCAACAGGGTGATTATAATTAAAAACCCACTTTCAAATTGCTGTAAAACATGTAATATATATGAAAAAAAATTGTAAAGTCAATTTCTACTTTTTTTTTTTCACTATATTGCAGAAAGTCCTTTCAAAATAATTTTCATTTATTTTTTTAAGTTGATCTGGTGCCATCTATTGGTAGATATAGGCAACTTAAAACTAATATTGACTAATTAAATTCAATTACTGAATTATTAATTGAAAAAACTGTATTAACATAAAGTTATCATCATGAATGATTGAAAATTTGAACAAGATATATACAGGGCGAGTGCGAGCTAACAGAAGGAACTGAATAAATCAATTAAGCTAAAACGCTAACAAAAATAAAATCAACAAGAGGGTGATTATAATTAAAGGTCCACTTTCAAAATGTTGTAAAAAAAGAACCACTCATCATAATGAGTTCAAATTTGAACTGGAGATACTTGAAGAAGAGGGAAACTGTACGAATTGAAATTTACGACTTTATATAAAATACTAAATTATTGGAATCTGAGTAATGATATATACAAAACAGAAGTGTGCAAATATGAAATTTTTGCACTTATGAAAATCTTTGCACTTATAAAAGTATGAAAATCTTTGCTTGTTGTTGTTTCTTATCCCACTTAGCAGACATCTAGGCCAAGCCTACGAGCTCATACGTACTCATGGTTGAAGGGGAAGGAAGCAGCTTCTGTTGTGATGGAGCACCCGTAGGTAGAAATCTGACTTTGGCTCCGTGACGATCTTACAGTCATAGGAGACCGGGACCTACGGCTTAAAGCGGATTCCGAACCACAACAAACATCCATGGCACCGCCGGGACTCGAACCCGAAACCTGTGGCACCGATCGCTAGAGAGCTAGACACTAGGCTATTCAGGCCCATGAAAATCTTTGCACTTATAAAAGTATGAAAATCTTTGTTTGTTGCTGTTTCTTATCCCACTTGACAGACATCTAGGCCAAGACCACGAGCCCATATGTACTCATGGTTGAAGGGAAAGGAAGCACTAGGCCATTCAGGCCCATGAAAATCTTTGCACTTATGAAAGTATGAAAATTTTTATAATGTTAATAATTAAAATAATTCAATAATAATTATAATAATTAAATTATCAATTAATTATCAAAAACTATATTAATTAATTCCACTTACGTTTGCAAAATCCATTATAATTAGCAAAACCACGGTGACATTCGCATTTCTTCTGTCCATTTATGAACTTGCATTGTATCGAGCTTCCGCAATCACACACTGTTTAAAACATAAAAAAAAGAATTTAGTATTTACATAATCCCGTCACAATATCGAGATGCAAAAAAACTCCATAATATATTAAATTTGTGTGGTATAGTTAAGCGCTATATAAGGAGGGACTCATCGTCATCATTAGCAGGACAGCCCAGAGTAGGCCAATCCTTTTCCTTCGAAGCGATTTCCATGCATCCCTCTGGGTGACAAGGGACCTCCAATTTTTAAAGGCTCGTTCCCACCGAGGCGTGAAGCGTTGAAGATTCACGCGGCAGGCAAAGAAAATTTTTTCGACCCCTTCACAGCGAACCGTCAGAAATTGCATTTACGCCTAGTGAAGTTACGCCAGTTGAAAATTGGTCAACTCGAAGCGGTGGATTTCAAACCGGTTTCAGGTGAACTTGGTGAGGCTAGTGATTGGTCAGCGCTTCTGCTTAAAGCCTCACGCCTCGCTGGGATAGAGCCTTAACCCCTAGTGCAGCAAAACCCTTCTCAACTGCATTTATCCATCGGAACTTGGGTCGTCCTCTTCCTCTTTGTATCTGTGACTTTTCCAAAACGAGCCTTTTTATAGGGTTTAAATCTTTCATTCTAAATACATGAGCAGCTTAATTTAATGTATTAATCCATTTTATTTCTGGGTCTTTATAGCATTTATAAATTTCTGTATTGCCCATCTTCTCCGACAATCACTTTCCCTAACACCTCCAAGAACAGCCCTTAAAATCTTCCGTCCAAATATACCCAAATGGGCCTCAATGTCTTGCCAAAGTCCAACTTTCAGAGCATAGACCAATATAGGCCTAGTAAGGGCAAGAATTTAGTTTTTCTGCTTATGAACTGTGATTTAAATAGATTACTTAACCCAAAAAAGGCCTTATTGGCAAACACAATTATATTTCTAATTTCAGGTAAGATATTATTATGACAATTCATTTCTGAACCTGAGTAAGGATTCCGAACCACTACAAACACCCATGGTACCGCCGGGATTCCAACCCGAAACCTGTGGTACTGAGCGACAGACACTCGAACATTAGCCTCTTTATAATAATATATTATGTGAGAATGGTCTCCTTTATTTAGCTAACCAAATAAAAATATTCCTTAATAACGTACGAAAAACTTAATAGTTACATGGAAGACCAACAAAATTTAACGATTTTTAGTGAAATAAATAATTAAAAAAAAAAATATATTTATAATTTTTTGTTATAATTATAATTTATTATGTTTATTTATATCTATTTATAATTTTAATGCAAATCGTTTCTTCAAACCCAATAAAATGTCATGTAAAAATAAACGATAAAATGTGTGAGAATCACTTTGATTAATATTTGTTTAATGTCTATATAACAGGTAGACTGAAAAGTTCATAGGGTAACACATAGATGGCGCTATTAGTATTAAATCCATATGAATTTTAGTTAGCCCTAACCTTCAAAAGACACGTGCATAAATTTGTCAGCTGCTGCACTATTAGTATGTGAGCTATAGCATTTTTAGTGTTCATCACGTGCAGTCCACTCGGCTGACTGTCGATTGGACTCAGGTGTGAAATGATGGAGCCATATTTCATCCATTGTCACATATCGGGTTTATTAAGATTGAACAGCTCCAAATACTGCTTAGAATCATTCATTCGTTGTTGTTTTTTGTCGATTGTGAGCTCTGCGCGGCACCCACTTTGAACAGAGCTTTAGCATATCCAAATATTCATTCACGATATGTCCAACACGTTCCTTTAATATCTTTAGGGTCTCAGCTATCTCAATCAATTTTCACTTTATGGTTATTAGAAATTATTTTGTGGACTTCGATTATTTTGATGATTTCGTCGGTAACAGCCTCTTTGGGGCGTCCACTGCGTGCATCGTCCTCGGTGCTCATTTCGCGTCGTTTAAATTTAGAAAACCACTTCTCTACGGTTGATTTCCTGGTGCAATGTCCGAATAATGTTTATCAAACCAAGCCTTGGCTTCAATAGTATTTTTTTTTTCGCCAAAAAGAAATGCTTTAATTAACACACGAAATTTCTTTTTATCCATTTTTTCAAACTAACAAAAGTTGCTTTACTAAAAATGCTATAACTCACATACTACTAGTGCAACAGCTGTCAAATTTATACACATGTGTCTTGTGAAGGATAGGGCTAACTAAAAATTATATGGATTTAATACTAGTAGCACCATCTATTTGTCAGCCTACGAACATGTCAGCCCAACTGTTAGATATGTAATTAAACACTCTTGTAGCATCACTAAACACGTGAAAACTGACTTGTATGTATAACGCCTAGTGATGCAAAATGCAATATTATATTCTTTAGTACAGCAGTGGCCAGCCCGCGGCCCGCCTTAAATATTTTTTCGGCCCGTGAGATTTATCACACTTTTTAAAACATATTTATTTTATAATGGCTAAAGTAGGAAAATCAATTATGTGTGAATCAATAGTGAAATGAGTAGTGAAAATCAATTATGTTATCACACATATGTTAAAAAAATACATTATGTGTGCATCCATATATTCAAAAATGAACTGAAGAAATTATGAGAAAAAAATTACTTTTATTTTAAAATAATATTCTTGTAAATATATGGCAGATATTGACTGTTTTATTTATGAGTTCACAGAATAATTAAATTATATTCTTTGAACTCATGATGCGAGCGTCCTGAAATATATAATGTTACAGGTTCTATGTTTCGCTTTAAGTGACATCAGTGACCATCCCTAGATAGGCACAGTTGATTGTTGATAGCAGAGCAAACCAGACTCTTAGTTGAAGTTGTTAGAGCCTTTGGTTCAACTTACACCAGCGAATCTATTTTTTTTTCTAAAATGAAATTCATCAAACACCAAAACACGCTCTGACACAACGGACGCTAACCTGCAACACCAATTGCGATGAGCAAATACCCAATTTGAGATAAATTTGCAAAAGCTAAGTGAAAGAGTGGAGAAACAATTATCGCACTAGTAAAATAAATAATTTTTAAAGATTTCATTTTTTTATATCGTTTATATTATAATTTATATTTATATATTTAATTTTTAGTGTTATATATTTCTTTACAATGTGCGTTTAGTATCATTGTTATTATTATATTATCTATGCTTACATGCAAGAATGATAGTAAACACAATAATAATAACTCATTATGTTTCCATTTTTCACTCCAAAAAATGTCTATAGTGGGTCTAAATCTAATATTGGGATATATCATTTTATATGCGGCTCGCGGAGTTAGGATGCAATTCCAAAGTGGCCCGCAAGATCATTTGGATTGGCCACACCTGTTTTAAAGAAATGAATAATATATCTTGAATTGCACCTTTAAAATATGATTCTGAAGTAAAATATTAAAGATATGAAGCCATAAAAGGACAGGACTTAAATTATCTGTAAATAATATAAGTACTATTATTTAAAAAGATAAATTTGCCTAGTTATAAAACAATATAAAAATTTTGTATATAAAATAATATAAAATTATCCATTATAAAATAAATACTATACATATGATGTATGATTTAATTATGCATTCAAAATCATATAATTTTTTAAAAAAATTATAATTATATATAGTCATAATATAATCAAATACCGGTACTTGTTAGATCACCGAAGTCAAGCATCATTGGGCGCGGTCAGTACTTGGGTGGGTGACCACCTGGGAACACCGCGGCAAATTTGGGGCCTGAATGGCCGAGTATCTAGCGCTCTGGCGCTCGGTGCCATAGGTTTCGGGTTCGAGTCCCGGCGGTGCCATGGATGTTTGTAGTGGTTCGGAATCCACTTTAAGCCGTAGGTCCCGGTCTCCTATGACTGTAAGAGTGTCACGGAGCCAAAGTCAGACTTCTACCTACGGGGTGCTCCATCACAACAGAAGTTGCTTCCTTCCCCTTCAATCATGAGTACGTACGGGCTCGTGGGCTTGGCCAGCCAAGTGGGATAAGAAACAACAACATATAATCATACATATATATAGTCATTAAGTTTAAACTTTTCATTCCAAAAAAATGTCTATAGTGGGTCTGAATCGTTTAATATGGGGATATATAATTTTATATGCGGCCCGCGGAGTTAGGATGCATTTCCATAGTGGCCCGCAAGATCATTTGGGTTGGCCACCCCTGACTTAATATTTATGTAATAAATGTTGCTCGTTAAAAGATGAATATGATTTCTCTATTCAATAATCGCATGTTACTCGTGCATAATTGTTGTTGTTGTTGTGACTAATCCTCAATGTCCTGCAGTACGGGACGGCCATCCCATGAGTGATCTATTCACGGATGGAGGCAGCTTCTGTTGTGATGGAGCACCCGTAGGTAGAAGTCTGACTTTGCTCCGTGACGCTCTTACAGTCATATGAAACTTTGGCATACGGCTTAAAGTGGATTTCGAACCACTACATACATCCATGGCACCCCCAGGACTCGAACCCGAAACCTGTGCTACCGAGCGCCAGAACGCTAGCCACACGACCATTCAGGTCCTATGCGTAATTGTTTAAGTACTAATAAAATTTTGTGTACATTCCATTTGTGATTCTAAAGGCATTGCACGGTTTTGCGGCCAAGTTCGATACCGTGGATATCTTTCAATTTCATGTAAACAATTTATTAAGAATGGCATATTTCGAAATCAGACTGCACTACAAAAAGCATAGGTAATATTAATTTTAATTCTTAGGTACCTAAAACAGACAGGCCCTTTCCCTACCAAGTTTTAAACAATTTGTGTATAAAATTGCACACAATTTTTATAATTCCATTCCAAATATTAATAATTCTGTTTTGAATGATCTAATCAACTATGATGACAACATTTCTGATTTCAAAAATCGCGAAAGACCTCGCGCTGTTCTGAATATTATTCATTAAACGTTCCGATATCCTCCTTTCCGAATTACCACGCAGTTTCTCCGCTGAGTCACAATTTCCCCTCCATTCTTTTTTGTTTGCTTCTATTGTTTATCCATTTTTTTTTATTACATTCTTGAAATTATAATAATAATATAAAAAAATTATATATGCATAATTTTTTTTATTAATTAATAAAAAATACGAATAATTAATAAGTTATTTTTTTATTTAAATAAATTAATAACATATACACTCAAGAGCCAAAACATTCAATAACGACTTGGCCCCCCTTTGGCGCGCAACACGGCTTCAACCCGCCTTGGCATGGATTAATATCACCACTTAATACCAGTTAAATACCACTTCCACCTGATCACGTGCCTTCCACGTCATCCAGGCGAGTTTATTGCAAAATGTAGGGGTGGTCATAATGGTTTGGCTCTTGAGTGTATATATGACTCTTTTTCTATCTAATCAATGCTTAAAGCTTAAGAAACATTTCTCATTCACAAAGCAGGTGATAGCAACCAAGGTTCTTTTGTCAATCTGGCAAACTTCGTCGTCGTCGTAGGTTCCTTTTTTTGTTGTCAAAGAACCACAATAATTTATTGAAAGTCAACATTAATGTTTTTCACTTACTTTCGCAGAATCCATTATTTTCATCATAACCCACACCGCACAGACATACTTTTTTGCCATTACGGAAATCGCAAGAGCGTTCTCCCTCCCCACAGTAGCAATCTGTTTAAATAAAAAGAAGTCTTATGGTTATACATGTAGGATTTGTTTGCCTGCTAAGCACCAGATGGAAACACATCACGGACTATGTGTCTTTCACACCAACCTTTTCCCATGTAGTGGCAGTATTGGACCTTGAACTCTGGCCCGGGAAGAAGGGAAAAAAACCCGTAGTTGGGCGCAAGAAGAGAACGCTAGCTAACATGGGAGAGGCTGCGTCAAGCAGCGATAGAAAATGATTGTGAATGTTTAACAATTAATGTAAATATCGCTGTATAGAGTATATCTTTTCATTAAATGTATATTGTTGAGAGAAAAACAACGCTTCTTTATTTCGCTTTGAAATACACCCCTGGATTGCCTCCCTCTGTCGTTAAACATTTGCTAGACTGGTATAGAAGTCTACAAAATTGGGGGCTCGGCCGGGATGCATCTGTTGAAACCGGTGTAACCCTACATAAATTGGGGTTTCGGCCGGGATGCATCTTTTGCAAGCGGCTAAATCTACATGCATAAAATACAGCTTGCTGCAACAGATGTCTATTGAGGAATCCCTGTGTAGCAATTCGTGACTAAACCTTCTGTGGCAACCATATACATATTTTAATATGTAAACAACTTATTACTAAATCGATTCAATTTCACGTATATTTATCAAATATTATTTTTTTTTTCATTAATATTTTTATTCATTTTCATTGATTTTTAAAATAATGTAACTACAAATTGGCAATAATATAAAAAATCGTCTGATTTTAATTTAGCTTATTTTTCTGGATATTATTATTCTTAATTTTTTACGTTTGAAATTTGAAACGATCGTGTTTGAGTATTCTTGTTAATGCATTCTGTATTTTTTAATTTTAAATGATCAAAAAGTTTTTAATTAAATTTGAAATAAAGCCTAATATATTTGCTTTTATTATTTTTATTGTATGTATTTGCTTTTATATTTGCTTTTTATAATTTTTGCTTTTATTATTTTGCTGTAATTCGAGATTGCTATTCTTTTTTTTTTTTTTTTTTTTTTTTTTTTTTTTTTTTTTTTTTTTTCCCCCAATTCCTTCTATTAGCTCACAATCTCCCGAATTCAAATTTTCAAAATTTCAATCTTTCATAAAATATTTTTTACTCAACCGCTGAAGTTCTAATATAGTTTTTTTAAGCTTGTAGTGGAGGACACTGGATGTTAATACAGTTTTTTTTAAATACTAATTCATTCATTAAATTTAATTCATTAATTTTAGTTTTTTTTTTTTTAGATTTAACTTGCATGTATCTACCAATAGATGGCGCCAGATAAACTTATCAAGTAATGTGAAAAAAAAATTTTTAAGTCAATTCCTTCTTTTTTTTCACTATATTGCAGAAAGTCCTTTATAAATAAATTTCATTCATTTTTTTTAAGTTTATCTGGCGGCATCTATTGGTAGATACATATGAACTCACATATTACAATTCTTCAAATAACTTTTTTTTTTAAAATTTGCCTCAAATTAGAATTTTTAGCTTCCTATCGAATTTTAATTCCAATAAGTTAGGTAAAGATTATTTTTATACCTAAAATAGTATTGATTTCCACATAACAGAATTTTTGATTTAATTTTTTTACAGCATTTTGAAAGTAGGACTTGTATATAAAAACGGTACTTATGTATTAACGCTACCTTAGCTACAGTTGCACCAATCTTGTTGTTCGCACGCGCACGCAGTTATCTTTGGAACACCATTCAAACAGCTACAGATTTGGCGGTTTTTAAGTGGCGCCAATCTACACTTCATTGTAGCTGTTAGTTTGGCGCCACTTAAAAACCGCCAAATCTGTAGCTGTTTGAATGGCGCCACTTAAAAACCGCCAAATCTGTAGCTGTTAGTTTGGCGCAACTTAAAAACCTCCAAATCTGTAGCTGTTTGATTGGCACCACTTAAAAACCTCCATATCTGTAGTTGTTTGATTAGCGCCACTTAAAAACCGCCAAATCTGTAGCTAAGGTGGCTTTAATACGTAAGTACCATAAAAACTATAGAAATTCCAACCTTTGCAAACGTATTCTTTGTGATACAGCGCTTTTTTTTCGGGACATATGCACACAGCGGTTCGTGTTATTTGATCAAACATGCAAGTACCCCGTTCTCCAGTACAGTTTCTATACCTTCCAGTCACGCAGTCAACAACGATTTCACAGTGGTCACCTTCCGTACCAGGATTGCATTCACAGAAATTCTTTCCATCCTTATCGAGGCATACTCCGTCATTTTGGCAGTCGTCATTCGAGTTGCATATGTCTGAAAAAAGGTGAAAAATGTAAGTAAACATATTTGAAAAATTTACAAGAAATAAGAAAAACTCTTCATTTATTGAAAAATGGAATCTGTATAATTTATACACTTTTTTTTTCTTATTTAATGCTAGCGTTTGGGAAAAAAAATTCGAAATACACAGTCCAGTCACATTAATGTGAGCACCGCCTACTTTCGACGTCAACGTGAAATAACCAATCACAAAAGGCAGGCGGCAGCACAATGCCGTGGAATGTATATAAAGGATGTCCTAGGGCATCGGAAAGCATTTCAATCGTTGGCGTAATGCAGAAACGTAGTGATTTATCCGATGTCCAAAAGGGCATGGTTATTGGCTTTCGGGACAAGGGTGGAAGCATTTCGGAAACGGCTAATTTTGTGAACTGCTCGCTTGCCGCCGTGGTAAAAGTATACGGTGCATGGCAAAATGACACTATCCAAAATCAGCGGAGTGGCACATGTGGTGCACCACGGGCTATAGATGACAGAGGTGAACGAAGGCTACGGAGATGCGTTCGGGTGAATAGACGTGCAACTGACCGCCCAGATGAACCAAGGGGCTTCCAAGAGTGTATCCTCAACAACGGTTCAGCCAACGTAGCTGCGCATGGGCCTCCGCAGCTGACGCCTGGTTAATGCACCTTGCTGACTGCTATTCATCGGCGACGAAGGCTGGAATTTACACGCCAGTACCGAAACTGGACGTCGGCAGAGTGGCGACAGGTAGCTTTTTTCCGAGGAATCACGTTTTATGCTCCATCAGACAGATGGACGTT